CTACGCCGTCGCAGGCGACCCACGGCAGCCCAGCTCCAGGTTGAGCTGTTGTTCAGCATCTTAGCTGTGGAGGGCAGTATCACTGGCCCTCATATGTGGGATCCGAACCGGGGCCCTCTGGCATCCCAAGCCAGTTCTTAACAATCGCGCCACTCGGCCGGCCCCGCCATTGGTATTTTGATAGGGATTTTATTGAATTTGTAGACTGCTTTAGGTAGTATGGACATTTTAATGATATTAATTCTTCCAATCCATGAGCACGGTATATTGTTTCATTTATTTGTGTCTTCTTCAACTTCTTTCATCAATATCTTATAGTTTTCTGAGTACAGGTCTTTCACTTCCTTTGATGAGTTTATTCCTAGATATTTTATACTTTTTGGTGCAACTGTATGTGGGATTGTTTTCCTAATTTCTCTTTCTGATAGTCTGTTAGTTGCATTTAGAAATGCAACAAACTTCTGAATTAATTTTGTATCCAGCAACTTGACTGAATTCATTTCTTTGAATAGTTGTTTTGGTGAATACTTTAGGGTTTTCTACAGAGAATATTACGTTATTTGCAGATAGTGATGCTTTTACTTCTTCCTTTCCACTCTGGATACCTTTTATTTCTTTTTCTTGTCTGATTGGTGTGGTTATGACAGACTATATTACTGATGAGAAGGAGCTCTTGGGAAAAGAGTTACAGTCATTTCTGAACCTCAGCACTACAGAGATTTTGAACTGGATACTTCTTTGTTTAGGAGGACAGTCCTCTGAACTGTAGGATGTTTAGCAACATCCCTGATTTCTACCCATTAGATGCCAGTAGCATGTCTTCTTCACTTGTAATGACCAGAAATGTTTTCAGACTTTGCCGAATGTCTCCTGGAGGGCAAAATCACCCCTGTTTGAGAACCTGTGCTCTAGTGTTATGCCGGAGAAATGTAGTGACTATTATTTTCCCATCTAAGATTGTTTGATTATAGCCAGTGTTCCATTTGCTTCATTAGCAAGGGCAATTCTTACCACTTGAGGTTTTTCACCATTTTCTCATCAATATCATCCATCATTTCCTTGGTAGTTGGCAGGCTACATGAGTCTAGACAAGAAATGAAGAGAGAAAATATTGAAAAAGACAAAGAAATCAGAAATGTATAATGAGACACATGATGAATTTCATTCAGTATTTATGCACTCTATTCCTAAAAGATTTTGTATCAAGAGGAGCTATCTTTGGTGTCTTTAGTAGAATAACAATTCACAGATACAAAGATGTGAGAAGCCAACAAACTAGCTCTGGGAATGGCAAAGCAATGGGATGGTGACAGCAGAAGGATTTGTAACTTCAAATCACCCAATCTCATATTCCTGCGACATTACAGAAAGCCAAATTCTCAGTACAGCTCAGGTACACTTCATAGATATAATAGCTTAACAATTTCTTCATATTTCGTGTTTGCCTCCTCTTATTGAGGATTCTTTCAAGAAATAACCTGGTAAAACAGTTCACTCTAAGGTACATAGCAATTCAAATGGGACAGTGGAAGGAAGCATGGGTTTTCCAGCATCAACTTGCAGCCAAGGAGATTGTGGGTGCTAGACTTATCAGGGCGATCATTTTGTGAGGTATAGGAGTGTCTAATCACTATGTTGTACACCTGAAACTAATATAAGATTTGATGTCAACTGGAATTGAAAAATACATTTTTAAAAAAGAAGGGGCAGCCAAAAAATGTTCATTTCTTGTAAATTTCACTACCTCCCTGGGGGCTTCTTCTGCTGGCCGACGACAGCTCATTTGCCTTTGTAACAATGGCAAGAAGTTGTTATGGCATTTGCAGTGTGTGAAGACCACCCTCTCACTGTTGGCATCTTCCCTCAGTCTGTTGGTACTTGGTGGTCAGGAGTTTGCTGTGCTCCCTCTAGAATTGTGATCATTTTGTTTGACATTGTGCCTAAGTGCCAACACAGAACTTGGCATATAGTTGATGCCCCGTAAATATTTGCCAAATGAATAAATGATACCCTTTGTTTCATGTAAATTTGGGGGGGGTTTATGAACGTATCCAGTTTTCCTATAATACCTCAGGCACCAGGCACTATTGTTCCTTTCAAGAGAAAAAGATAATATGAGTATTTTATAGGGGAGCACCCTCTCCAAAAGACTTCATGGCTTTTAAAACTAAGTAATGATCCTTCACAGTATATTTGACATAGAAGCTTATTTATCCACATCGTTTTTAGAAAACCTACACATACACTCTATGATCGTAACATTTTCTCCATTACCTGTAGTCTAAGTTTTTATGGACAGGATGTAATATAAGGTATACCTCTATTGGCCAAGATTCTCGAAACTTTGACTAAAATAATGCTTTCAATAACAGTGATGATCAATAGAATTGGACTTCATTAAATCAATATGTCTGAGACCTTGCCTTTCTCCCTATAATCCTTGTATTCTTGATTTTTTCACATAAACATACTTGTAGCCCCTGCAGACCGCGGAGCTGAGAGTGGAGGGAGGGGGAGAAGGTGGTCAATAGAGTAGGAGTGACCTGGCATTGTTGTTCTGACACAGATTGACACCAGCAAGGCTTCCAGCATGACCCTGACAAGGCCTTTCCCACCTTTGTGATGTGTTTTGACATTTCACCTCTGCTCTCCTTCTCTGGCTTAAAGCCTTGCGAAGTCCTTACAATTCCATGACTGGAAGTCTAAGCTCTTTCACATAGCTTGTAAGGCCCTCCACGCTCGGGTTCCTTCCTTTGTTTCTTGCCACTGCCTGCTTCTGCTTTATATTCTGTCACCCCAAAATGTTTCTAGATCCTTACACACTCCATGTGGCTCCTCACCTTTAGGCCTTTCCTCATGCTGTTCCCTCCTCATGGAATGACTCCCTGCCTAACTCCCCTCAGAACACTCTAGAATTTCCCCTCTGGGGGCACTCCCCTCACTCTATTTTAAGCTCGTTGAAGCTCAGGAACATTCTGTCATGTTCTCTTTATATCACTAGCACCTAGCACAGTGCTTGGTATACAGCCGGTGCTCAATAAATGTCCACTGGCTACATGAATGAGAGACGGGATGGCCCACCTACTTGTAAACACTTTAGCAATCCAGCGGGCTTGCAGGTCAACTGTGGGGATGGCAGCCCCGAGGGACTGGACAAGGCCAACCACAGCCAAGGTTGGCTTCTCCATCAGCGGGGGGAATACGCCTTTAAACAAGGTGACCTCATTGTTTCTGCTCTTGATGATGGAGTCATCGAGGAAGGGGTAGTTGTAATGATAGCCTGTGGCGAAGATGACAAAGTCAACAGCCTCAAACACGGTCCCATCCTCAAACACGGCAGAGGTCTCCGTGAACTTCTTCACACTGGGCTTGATGGACACGTCACCAGTCAGGATGCGCGATGGCAGCTCATCATTGAACACAGGCTCTTTCCTCAGGGTGCTGTGCAGAAACGAAGGGACAAGGCCTTTGCTGTCAAGTGTTTCATTTTCCCTAAATACCTACAACAGCCCATGGCCTTGAAACCACATTTGAGCGGTTAAACGTCAGCATGAGGACCCTTTTTTTTGGGGGGGGGGCAATTCCTTTCGTATTGCCTGGAATAATCCTTAAGAATTTCTGTCTGAGCTGCCTCTTTTGGCCCCTTGAAACTTGAAGATTCTCTTATGGGTACTTCATACTATTTGAAGACTCACCAAATAGGTTAGAACCAGGCTAATTCCTTGACATAATAAAAACGGTTAAGAGTGCTGACTCTGCAGCCAGAAGACCCAAATGTATAAACCGGCTCAAATGTATAAACTAGCTGTTACTTCTCTGCATTTGTTTCTTTATGTGTTAAATGAGGATAATAGAGAATCTACCCCACAGGGTTGTTGTGAGAATCACATGAGCAATTATCTGTAAAGCACTTAAAAGTGTGCTTATAAGTGAACCATCATTGTAACAAAGGTCTCATCATACGTGAGAGAACCAGATTGGCTGGGGTGGCATGTGTTATTGCCACCTTTGGCTTCCTTTCATCAGCTGTGGTCACAAAAGAAAGGGTAACACCTTTGAGACTGTACTTCAGTTGCCAAAATTCTAGGAATGATGTTGTTTTGAGGACATTCTTCATTTTGAGTTAAGTTTCCTTCAAGGGTTTGGGCAACGATCTCAAACATTGAGACACTTTAAAAATCTTGGACTTTGTTCCTCTACTTCCACACTGTTCTCCACCTCTATATAATCTTGCAGCCTCTTTCTTTACCTTATGAAGTAATACAAAGTAGGTCACGGTGACACCTGCTTTTCTCTCCCCTCCCCTACCTCTGACTCCTAGGAACTTGGGACCGTTTCTGGGAGGGAACTTAGTTCTTAGGAGTGGATTTCCAAAACAATGTTTTAATTGTTTAAAGGACAAAACCCAAATACAATTTGCAGTTACCCTCACAAGACAAAAGAGCCTTAACCAGCGCAAGCTTTGGGACTGCTATTACATTAAGCATAATTTTAAATGCATGAAGTCAACATTTTTCGTTTGTTTGTTCCTAGCAGTCTGTCAGATGAGGTAGGAGAAGTGCTGCGAAGTGAGGGTTGGGCTCCTAGCTCTGACATTTGCTATTCCAATTCCCACTTCCCTCTTCTTTTTCTTTAACCTGCTTTTCTAAACACAACGAAACACTTGCTAGCATGGGCCCCAAAGTGAAATTTCTTAGTGAATTCTTTCTTTTCTTACCCACTTCACTATTTTTTTTTTATTATTGATATAGTGATTCTTCTAACGAGAATGCCTTTCTCAGGTGTTGGGCTCTGTCTCCATAGAGAAGGACATACATGAATCTTGTGAATTTGATTGGCTTCTCAGTTCTGTGACTCCCGAGTGCCGGAAATGTCCCCTGCCTCCTGACCATCCTGCAAAAGTGTCACCCTTCTGTGGTGGAGGAGGTGGCACTTTTGTTTTGAGTCTTCCTGCTGCTGAGTCATGTTGATGACCACCACTTGGCTAATTGTTCCTCTGAGAGACCAATATTTTGTGAAGCTTTCTAGTTTACAAAGTAAGTGTTACATTCTTTGTCTTCCTGAATACAACAATCTTGAGAAATAGGTATTACTATTATTATTATTTCTATCCTCATTCATCCAAATTCATGGATAAGATATTTCTCAATACTCCCCTTTTGCCCCCCCCTCCACTGAACACACACACAATTTATGAGTTGTTCCAGCCCTCAAAATTCTCTGCTGTAGCTTGTAGCTACCACAACTGAATTCTGCATGTTAGGGTGACCTAACTGTCTACTCCACCCCGTTTTGTATTCTTCCATATGCCTTTCCCAATGAGACTCATTTCAGTAAGATTTTTATCCCGTACATGGTCTCTGGGCATACCGTGCCACCTATGCAGTCCTCAGTTGAATACCACCAGCCTCAGTGAGCCAACTAAAGTAAGACTCAGAGAAAAAGAATTCAACGTAAACTAGTGCCCCACTCTTTTGAATGATAAGTATGCATTATTTGTCGTACCCATTTAAAGGCATCAGGCCATAGTTCTCATGCTTAAACCGTGAGTTCATCTGCTTGACATATAACCAGTCAGAGACAAATGAAGGAAGGACACTCTGGAGAAAGGATGCAAAGCGGGTAATGCACACCATGTCCCAGGGATATCCATCATCCCAACCCCGGCTCATGATCCAGGAACCACTTCTGGTGCTCATGATGACCTGGTGGGGAAGGCAGCATAGATTTCAATATCACTCTGTAAGAAGTAAGCAGATACAATGCAACTCTATGGACACCTCCACACTTTCCCTCAATACCCTGGCAGGAGCACCTGTACAGAGGTGCGTCAAGATGGGTAGTCCACGACTGAAATGAAGTCGATCCAGAACTGTGCCCCCTCTCCACCCAGAGGGTGAGTGCACAGCTGTTAAAAGAACAAAACCCTAACATCTTGGAACAAAGAGGACTCTGTACGAGGTCTGACAATTAAGTTCATGAACTCACTGCAATGATGTTGCTACCCTTTTTGGATATCAGAAGGGTTATTCATGATGAATTTGTACCAACTGGACAAACAGTTTACCAAGTTTACTATTTGGAAGTGCTAAAAAGGCTGCATGAAAAAGTTAGATGACCTAAACTTTCGCCAACAATTCATGGCTCTTGCATCACGACAATGCAGCAGCTCACACGGCACTGTCTGTGAGGAAGTTTTTAGCCAGGAAACAAATAACTGTGTTGGAACACCCTCCCTACTCACCTGATCTGACTCCCAATGACTTCTGTCTTTACCCGAAGATAAAGGAAATATTGAAAGGAAGACATTTTGATGACATTTAGGACACCCATGGTAATAAGACAACAGCTCTGATGGCCATTCCAGAAATAAGTTCCAAAATTGCTTTGAAGGGTGGACTAGGTGCTGGTTCGGTGCATAGCTTCCCAAGGGGAGTACTAGCTGGTGACCATAGCGATGTTCAGCAATGAGGTATGTAGTGCTTTTTCTAGGTTGAGTTTGCGAACTTAACTGTCTGACCTCGTATTCACCTGTGACAGGTTTATTCTTGAGACACTCACAGACTAAGATGGTAGGTCTGGTAAAACCAGCCAATCCAGTGGACCTCAGTGCTGGTGGGTGGTGGTGGTTGCTGGGTTGGGTAGTGGAAATGTACCTACATCTGCAGCTGAAATTAGGCTGAGGAGATGTCAAGGATTTAGTTCTGTTCTCTGGCCCTGGTCTCTTTTCCTAGTTCTCCCTACACACCCACCCCACACCTTGCTGGGCATCCCAAACTGGGGCAGCTGCCTCAGCCCTGAGACAAACCCAAGAGCTTGCCCACTGTATCACTTTTCTGATAACCCAAGGGAATTTGACTTTTAAAAAATACCTTAGCTCTTATGTACATGCATTTAAGAACTTATTTACTGAGTACCTATTTCCTTGAAAATATGTTGTTTCTTCAAGGTCTACGGGTCCCATATGATATAGCTTAGAGTCTCCTGGGATGTGTCCCTTGACGCCACCCCGCCTAAGCCAGCTTCTCTTTTCACAATGCTGCCACCGCCACACCTAATGTCACTGAAGTCTCATTACCTCCTTTGCAATAGTCAGCCTATTTGGTGTCCCATTTCTACCTATTGTCTACTCCTTCAAGCCAGGAGACCCTCTGATTTATATCCGTGTCTATTTCTAGTCTGACAATTCCGACACATAAAAAGGCCTGCTATTTATTGGGCATTGGTTGTTGAATGGATTAAACAATAGTAAGAACGAAATCTTGTGTAGCTACCAGACCTTCAGAGAGGGATGCACAGTATGTTGTGCATGGTACACAATAAGAAATACTGCTAATAAATAAAGGTCGAGTCTGACTAGCTGTCACTTTGCTTCGAAGTGATCAGAACATGTAGTGAAAACAAAAATGCTCGCTCGCTCTATCTGTCTCTCTCACCTCTTGTTCCAGTAGAATGTAGTTTCTTGCTAGCATGGCCCACATTACCTTGCTTCACAAGGAGAATGCGTCAAGTCTCCCCTGATTTAAGGGGCATGTACAACAGAGGGAGGGACCCCTTGTGGTCTGACATGACAGACGCCATCCTCGGGGCTGACTTGGGCTGTTGATTTAGCAGCGCAGCCATACTGTAGGTTTGTTTCCCTACACCTTTTAGATCATTTACCTGTGCAGCCAGACGACTGAGCTCAACAGCAATGTCACATGCCGAGTTCCCCAGGCCAATCACAAGGACCCTCTTCCCCTTGAAGGTGTCTGGGCCCTTATAGTCCCAGCTGTGGAAGCAGTGACCTTGAAACTGGTCCAGGCCTAAGTGGAACATGGGGAGTGGTTTGAGTTGATTTTCCGAAGAAATGATAAAGACCCACTTTCTTTGGCATTTTTAATTTTAGACTTTATATTATCAGTCTTATTTAAAAAAAAAAAAAAAGGTTCGGGCCGGCCGAGTGGCGCGATGGTTAAGAACTTGCTTGGGATGCCAGAGGGCCCCGGTTCGGATCCCACATATGAGGGCCAGTGACACTGCCCTCCACAGCTAAGATGCTGAACAACAGCTCAACCTGGAGCTGGGCTGCCATGAGTCGCCGGCGACGGCGTGGGCTGCAGTCCCTGTGGCAGTGGATTGCCATGGGCTACCATGTGTGGCCAGCAGCCAGCGTGAGCGGCCAGCAGCCGCAGTGAGCGGCCGTCCAGAAGCCGGCGACTGATCTGCCTCGCCAGAGAAGAGCGCAATGATGGTGCCAACTTGGGCCAGTGAAGCAACATCCTCCACAACTAGATTGAAGAACAAAACGACAGCAACTTGTCTGTTCCCCTTTCCCCAAGTCCCCAGCACTGTTCCCATCCCCCAATTCCCCAATAAAAAAAAAAAAAAAAAAGGTTCCCTAGTAGCAATGTATTTATCTTTTTGGTGGTTTTTGACACAAAACCCCCAAATAATTACATTTAGTACCTTTAAAAAACAAACCCTGTAAGATATGAGCAATTCTATTTTTATAATAATAATAACTAATATTTATTGACTGTGGGCGAGGCCCTCTGCCAAAGGTTTTACATATTTTAACCATTTTAACCGTTAACCTTGATAACATCTCTGAATAGTAGGTACTGGCATTATCTCTATTTTAAAAGACAAGGAAATTGAGGTAACTAAGTGACTTCTCTGTGGTCAGATGGTAAAGAACCAGTGAAAAAAGGAGCTGAGCCCAGCTGTTCTGAGCCTACACTATTTATTGTCAGCTTACAGGAAATATACTACCTCTTAACATGAATGGTTTTGATCTTCTATTGTCCCTGAATCTCTACTCTTTCAATTATTTTGGCCTATGACATTCATGCCCTGAGATGGAAACTCCAATAGTTTTGAGTGGACTTGTGTTCCTGTTGCAAGTAAGGAAAGAAGGGAGGGAGCAAGGGAGGAAAGTTGCTTGCGTATTGTATTTATTTGATGTAGTCGTTTTTATATAGTAATAGAGTATGCCACTGCGTGCGCGCGCACACGCACACACACACACACACACACACACTCACACACACTCACTGAGATTTCTAAAGTTAATTTGCGAAATGTGGACATATATGAAATTAGAAAACCCAGGTTCCCTCTATAAATAACGAATATGTGTATGTTATAAATAACATAACCAAATGTGACTTTCTTTAATCGTTTGGCAGTTGGACTCTACTTTTGTGACTGTACCTTCACTCAGACATCCCAGTGCAGTCAGGACTTAAGTTCCGGTTGCTGTGTCTAAGATAATGACCCGTGTCTTCATCTTGTCTCTGACTTACAGGTCCTTGATTCTTTTAGTATAGGGGTTCAAGAGGCCAGTTATTACTGTATTTTACATATCACCAAACTTAATAGCTTTGTTTTGAAATCTTTGGAACCTTAATAATCATTATGTATAATCTATGGAAAGAGCTATTCCAGCCTTGATGTTTGTATATGCATCCCCAGATTGCTATGTATTTTCCAAACTTACCAGGAAAAGAATCCTTTGGCAGATTGGGGTATGCGTGATGTCCCGAACAAACCATCACGGCATCAAAAGTAGTAGTTTCCTGCTTCCCACTCTTTTCCGTAACAACTTCCCATTGGCCAGTCAGTAAGAAGCTGGGACATTTCTTGATTCTAGTAACCAGTGTCTTAAAGAAAATCAGAAAGAAATTCCTTCTACTTATAATTCTGTATCTGTTTGTATATTTGTTTATTTATTTACCAGTGTTTCTGTGGAGGACATAATTGTTATGAGGTCTCCTGGTCCCTGAGAAATGTATGGGAAGAGGTTAAAAATGGAGTCACAGTGACTCTTTAGGCCTCACAGGAAAATGACTCACTGGGGTATATTTACTCTTTTGACATCTAGTTAGTAAATTTGGGGTATATAACACTAAGTGTGCTGGTGAAAGATGCCATGCCGTTTTGCATACTGCCACCCTCCACAGGCATTCACAGTTTCTTCCTCTTTGAACTCATCTTCCATATATTCCATAAATATAGAAGTGTCTTAGGGTTCCACCCTTAGTCTCTCCTTTGCTCTGGATAAACATTGTCCTTTGGAAATCTCAGCCACTTCCACAGTATGACTATTACATAAGTATATGTAAAAATTAAATTATATGAAATACAATTATAGCTATATTTAATTCTAATTAATTTAATTAAGTTATAATTTAAATTATAATTATTTAATTAGTATAATTAATAATTACAATTGGGATTATGTATAATACAATTTTATTTGTTATTTTAATGAAATAAAATTATACACAATCCCAATTCACAATTTTGCAGTTTAGTTTCCTAAGCATATGTGCTCTGTACGTAACAGTGATACATTCAGGTTAAGAGTTCTAAACAAATGGAAAGCATCATTTGTTATTTACAGAGACAGTGCCTCTACACTATGACTCCTAAGGCTCCTGGTCTAAGGGGCCACGTGTGGGAAAGATGTGGAAAAAGACGGTATCCATCATTCATTTAAATTGCTACTCTCTTCATAATGGAAGACTCTCTAGTGAATGCTGTGTTTTCTTGAGCCAGACTCATTGACATGAAGTCTAAATATGGACTAAAGAGTTTGGGATTATTCCTAAAATGTGAGAGCATGAGGATAGAGAGGACACTGGGATGGAATGGCTGCTTCCAGCATTTCCTATGGCATTTTAAAAGCTCTCAGAGACTCCTGGGGGACATGTTTAGGGACAAAAACAAAAACAAAAAAACAATGCATGAATACTTTATAATCCGAACCCGTACCTTGCCTCTGATGGGTGAGGCGTCCAACCGTTTGGCTCTGATTTCTGTAGCACAGTGCTATGTCCTTGCTTCTGCTCTAACCCGTAAACATACTGTTATCAACACCACCAGTCACAAGGCTCTTACCTCAAATTGTATGTATCTTAAAAGATCCTTCTTTTGGGCAAATGTCTTTATGTATTCCTGGAGCTTGCTGTTGTGCATGAAGTTGGGGTAATCGTCAGGGTATGGGAAGTCTGGGTAGCACATCATCTCTTTAGAAGAGTTGGTGAATACCGAAGTGTAAATACTGCCTCTGCCTTCTTCCGTTTGGTCCTAGGAAGAATCAGAAAGCTTGAAAGAAAAGGAAGCCAAGAATGGTATTCCCTTCAGTGAATATTCAATTCTTGTTTGACTAAAAAATTTTTGTATGTAAAATAATAATAATAATAATAATAATAATAATAATAATAATAAAACCCCAAAGACCCATGAAAAACAAAAGTTCACAGGTCTCTGTAAGATATGGAAAGAAAAGCCTTTATCACAGGACCTGGCGCAGAGCTGGCTGCTGTCCACCTCGGTCCTCTCACCCTAATTACCCCCAGGATTAGCTCCGTGTTTTGAATCCCGTAGAGTTTTCTTTATCCATTCACAGCACTGGTACTGATAACATACTCATGTTACACAATAATAATAAAAAAAAACAATAAACCACACAAGGAAATGGTCCAAAGGAGGCTGCTGCTTTAAGCCTATTTGATTGGCTATATGAATGGAACTCCGTGAGCCCTCTCTCGAAGTGGTTTCCCAATTCTGACGTCATGAGAATCACCTGAAGGGCTCCTCAGTCCTTAGATTGCTGGGCCCGCCCCCAGAGTTTCTGATTCTGGATTGAGGCCTGAGAACGTGCATTTCTAACAAGAGCCAGGTGGCACTGCTGCTCCTGGGCTAGGGACCACACTTTGGGAGCCACTGCTCTGCTGTAATGAATTCCGTGCTTGAGGAACTCCTTAACTCACCAGGGAGAGGCATGGGGCACAATGGGCTGCCTTGCCAGCGCATTTAAAAGCGGGCAGCGTCCGCTTCCCCCAATCCCGAAGGATTGAATGGCCTGTGGCAGTTGGATTCCAGTTATTTATTCCCCTCCAGCCCCAGCTGACCTCTGGAAGACAGAGACATGAAGTGCCTGGAGGAACTGGGAACAGCGTGTCTCTCGGGGGCGGCCTCAGGCTTCAGGGTTTCGCCTCAAGTTGAAAATAAAGCGTCCTCTCCTCATGGTCGCTGTATTTCTCAGCACCGCTAAGCTCAGAGATTTTAACTTTTAAAACCTCAGTTGGGAATTTCTGCTCAGATCAGGAAGAGGGTGAATGGGTGCGTGGCAGGTTCTGAGGTTTGTGTCTTCCCCCGGGTTCACTCACAGCTGCCTCCTTTCGTTGATGATAGAGAGAAGGAGAGGTGGGAAGGAGGTTTCTCAGCTGCCCACTGGAGGGAGGGAGGGCTGAACCGCGGCCTGGGGACTGGGTAAAAAAAGATGTACGATTCTGCTCTTGGACCATTTCCATCATTGATGAATCTCTGCCCTTTGGCCCCTGGATCCTAGCCAGTCAGAACACGAGGAGAGAAGGATATGTGTCCTAGAGCTCCTTGTACTTATACCCTAAAAAGCTCCTTAAAGTTTTTTCCCCCTAAATCTGTGGACTATATAATAATACATCTATGTTCTTTCTCCAAACAAAAGACGTATTCTTCAGCAACAGACAGTTGCTCCAGAGAGTTCGCACTTTCCTTATTTCAATGTGTGGGGTGGTTTGAGGCAATATGGAGGAAATGAAGCTCAGACTCTGCCTCTGGCTGGGAGAGCTTGCCCCAGACCCAGAGATCCCAGCAGCTGCAGATACATTGTCACCATCTGTCTATGGTTCTAACTGCGTCCATGTCTCCTCTTCCCTGTCAGGACATAAGCGACTTGAGGGCAAAGTCGGAGGCTGGTTCAAGAAAGCTGTGCATGCATTTTAGTCGTCTGCCTTGACCTTCTTTCGTATTCCATCTCTGCGTATCAATCTCATTCCTGCTGGTAGACATCCATCCTCAAGGTCCAGCTTAGATGGTGGCCCCTTTCTCAAGCCTTTCCTTGTCATCTGGGAGTCATCGCCACCTCTACCACACTCCAAACGACCCTAATCACGTTCACTTGTATTATAGTAATTTTGCTGCTTGCTTTCGCTCTGCTTTGAAAACACTGGCTGCCTGCTGTACCTCCTATCTGCAGCTGTATGTAGTGGACACAAATATGTGTCTGCTGAGTGAATAAATGAATGACTAAGTCAAGTGAATAAGTAGAACAGAAATGCAGGTGTTCTGTTTTCCACTTCTGCAGTCCCCATGATCCTGACCCATTTTCCACAGCTTATTGAGCAGCCTCTTTTACAGCAGATTAAAAGCTTTTGAGGTCGTGATGTTCTATTAAAGCTATAGGAAACTCAAAACATGCTTATTCAGCCTACTAATGTTTAAACTGCATCTAGTTTCCATTGTACAGGAAAAGCACACAGTGAAACGTTCAGGATTATTAGGTTTCTCAGCTGGAACGCCTTGTGCCTAACAGGGCTTGCATGATGAAAGCTTATGTAACTCATTTGCAGAAACCCCTCTCCGATTATACATTGTACCCAACCAACTTTCTTCAAAGAGAAGGAAGGGGTAGATGTGTGGAGGGGGCTGAGGTTTTGAATATTTGTATGTGTTCACATCCTCACAGGATAGAATTCCATGTCTACACAGTGACCTTAGGGAAAAGACATACTCTCTCTTTTGAATAACCCAGAGTTGGACTTTGTACCTTATCAATCTGTTACCTGTGGCTTCATTAAATAAACTTTTTGATCCAGCTGCCCTAGATAATTTACAGACCCCTGGATGGTCCATGATCACAGCCTTCTCTGTGCTGTTCATGGATTGCTTGCTGGTAACTCTCTACCTAAACGCCTCTCTCATGTGGTACTGGCACACTGTCGGTGACTGCTTGTCTACAGGGTTCCCTCCTCATGTTACCATGGGAATGGCACTCTCTGCAGTTGTGTCACAGAGTGGCCCTCTCCTTTCCTTGTCTGAGGAATCCTTCAAGTCCCAGCTAAGTGCTACCCCTGCGGGAAGTCTCCCTGGACTTGCTAAGAATTCAGCTGTCCACCCTCTTCTAAATCTCAAGGCGCGTGTTCATTAAGTTGACCATCACCAAGGGCTATCTTGTTGTTGTAAAGTTCTGTAATCTCTTATTTGAAACTCTTAGGGCCAGTTATATTTTGGGATTTGTAGACTTGGGGAATATGTTTCCATAAGACTCCTAGTGAGATTTTGGGCAGCACCCTATCATCAAATGCAAAAACATTTCTTCAGTGAAGCCCAAAGTGGGACAGATAAAGGCTATAAGTAGCCTTGTGCCTTCCACTCATGTTTTCTGACCATATGACTTCAGGATAGGGTTTGCTATCAAATGGGCTTTTGCCCCTTTCCTATCAAAGGAACTGTGGACCTATAGGATGGTTTGCTTCACCAACAGGAGTGGAAACCATTCATGTAGAGTGATTATGTCACATTAGTCAGCCTCGTACCTAGTACACAACTTGGCCAAAATAGATGCTCAAGCAGCATTTCATTGCTAATGAGCTAAGAGAGAACCATTTCATGATTTAGGCTCAATGGCCACATCTCCCTGAGCAAATGTAAATAAAGAAAATCGAATTCTTAAAAAAAAAAGCACCCACAAAAAACCTCTTGATTATTCCCTAATGAAAAATAAAAATTAATGATCTTATGTCATATGTAATGTTTTCAGGGTTATAGGCCCCCCGCCCCCGTTAATGTTTTTTACTAAAAGCTCTTGAGATGAACACATATGTCTCCTGAGTCAGCACCAATATACTTTATTAGGGCAACCTGTTGTGTAGGTTGGGCTATAACCGAGGCCAGGATAGACTATCGTTACAAGATGAATGTTGTGGATGTAATAATGTCTTCAGGCCAAATATGTGTCATCTATATCCAATAACAATGGTTGGAAAACTCATGACAGAAAGGCTAGAAGTTTCCCCAAACCCAGCTTTTGAAATTTGAAAAATTGTGTTTATAATGAATATTTCCTGATTACATTATTTCTACAACAATGAGCCTGAATGGCAGAGACAATCATTTTTTCCTCTGGATTTGGAGCTCACAGTGTATTCGACAACCACACACACAATACACACCATCATCATTTATAATAACTTACAATGTCTGCGCAATAGACATCAGTTCATTATAGAATCAGAACCTGTTAGAATTGGAAGGCACATGAGCAATAACTTAATTTCCAACCTCTGCATTTGACAAGTGAGCATTTGAGGTCCAGAAAGAAAAAAGTGTCTTGCCTAAAATCTATATACTTAGAAAACTTGAGTTTTGAGATTAGAACTTGGGACTCCTGACCCCAGTCTGTTTTTCTTTTTCTTTCCCCCCATGTTCCAGGGATTTAAGAGCAATAGGGCTAGAATCCCTATTTTGGCTAATTACTGACATTACAGCCAGGTGATCTGGGCTCTGTCAGGCTGGTGGCATTATTTAATAAGTTGGAGATGTCTTTTTCAGGATAAGCCCTGATGACATGCACAAATGGTTGTTTTGAATGGTTGGACGTTAGTAGGATGGGAGAGAGATTTTGCTTTCCAGAGCTGGAACTTTTAGGACCTACCTCTAAGTCTGAATCAGAACTGATCAGGTCGAATTTGCTGTAGAACCCCTCTCCCTTCTGTTGGTATCCCAGCAATGTGCCACTCACCGAAAATTTCCACAGGCCCCCAACATCGTTGCCCCTTTCAAAGCAGGTGGGCTGCAGCCCCTCTTCCAGGCAGCAGCGTATGGCAGCCAAGCCACTGACACCTGCTCCGACGATGGCCACTGTCTTCACCATGGTTTCCTGTAGGAAGGTCTAGAGAGCGATTTCTTCATAAGAGTGTCCCTGAATACTTATAGGTTTTCAGTAGAGTCCCAGGGGCTGGGTCTGGGCGGGCGGGTTGTGGTCTCCAGGGCGAGCCTGGCCCCGCCCGCGGCAGGGCCCCTGGGAGCTGCGATAGGACCTGGGGACGCTTGCTGTGTGCCTGAGCGCGCACGGGGGACGCACGCGCGGCCAGTGCAGGGCCGGGCCGGCGGGACTGTGAGTGGACTCTGGGGTCGTGGAAACGCCTGCACCCTGACCTGGCTTTCTGTCCCGGAGCCTGTGGGCCCGGCCGGGCCCTCCAGCCACTTGTCTGGACTGGGACCGACATGGGAATCCTGCCTCTTGTCTTGCCCTGAAGGCTGGAACTGAGCCTTAGGGAGAGGGAACCCTGATGCTCTGAAGCTCGGAGTCTCTCTCTCCCGGGTGCTGTGGTTCGGGGCGGAGGATGGAGGACACACCCGGCAGCGTTGCCCAGAGCCTTGCAGGTCTCGGGCAGCCCTGGCTTCCAGGGAACGAAATGCCAGTAACTCCCCAGAGCTGACTGCCAGAGCTCCTCAAAGCGCCCCCCCCCCCAAATTTCCAAACGTTGGCAGCGCTCATACAAAGCACAAGGTTTGAATTTGGCTGCCCCTGGGAACATCAGAGATTCCTGATCGGTAAACTTTAATATTTACCTAGCAGGGTAAATGCGAGGACTAGAAATCACATGATCGGGCCTAATGTGAGCCTGGTACACAGTGTTAAGCATTATTTACTCGGACACTTGTTCAAGGCGGCAAGGCAGACCCCTTTCTGGGGTACCACTACAGTGGGGTTGTGCCGTAGCAGAGAGAGACTGAATACAACAAGGACAAGTGGAGACTTACAGCCAAGGAGTAGGATGGGGGTCAGTGGATGGCAAATTACTCGAAGGAAACACCCGGGTTACCAGTGCCTTCTGGCTAAGCTACTTGACAGCAAGAGTTTCGCTGAAGGCAGACCTGGGTGAAGAAGGAATTTGATCAGATATCTAGGGTGGTCAGCTCCCAAGGGCCGGGGATGTAGAATTGGGTCAGATATCAAAGGAAGAGGATTTCCCCTAAAGTGGACCCAGCAAGATTCTCGTTAAAACTGGACCAGTAGGTTCAAGGACAGAGCCCACCGGCCAGGGTGAGTCCAAAAGGGGACCCAGGAGTTTAACTAAAATTTGCTTTAAGAGAGTCTTTGTCAATAGCAGGTGCTGCACAAAAGGTTACTGATACCTGTGTGTATGTATACTTACCTCGAGGTATATGTTAAAATTCATTCTAATTTGTTATAGCTTTAATAACTATAACAACTTTACATATAACAACTTTAAATTTACATAAAATTACCTTAAATTTGTTTTTTCTGACAAGAGCAGATTCTTATGAAATCCTTGAGATATAAATCCATAAACCCTCTGTAAAGTAATTCAATTTTGAATACATGAGGCCTTTTTTTTACTATTATGTGAGAGAATAATTACTAAAACCAGATTTAAATATTCTGTAAGATCTATAATTTTCCCTAAATGTGATTTTCCCCTAAATGTTTTCTACACTGCTATCTTAACTCAGGAGCCAAATAAGTCTGAATAAGCCTACTGACCAGTCTCTTGTATCTGAAATCTTACTACCTGTTGTTTGAAACTCAGGAGCCAGATAGATTTAGTGGAGGATACAGGTATATTTATTCATTTTTAACACATTTATTTAAAGCTATACATTGCTCTCTATACAGTGCTTTAGATGTTTTCTATAAATTTTCATTATCATTCTAAATGAAAATGCATTTTCATTTCCTTTGTGATTTTTTTTTATTTGACTGTAGGTTATTTAAGATTGCTATTTGATATCTTCCATATATTGGGATTTTCTAGCTATCTTATTGATTTCAAATCTAATGGCACTGTGGTCAAAGAATATATACTTTAAGATTCCAGTATTTGAAACTTAATTATGCATATTGTGTTTTGGTGACTATTACATAGTCACTTGAAATGAATGTGTTTTAAGTAAACTTAGTAGATTCACTCCTATCTTAAAAAAAAAAATTTTTTTTTTCACTTGAAATAACCAGCTGAGGTGTGTCAGGATCCTCACCTTAAAAGAAGAAAACAGAGGGCCGGCCGAGTGGCGCGATGGTTTAGAACTGGCTTGGGACACCAGAGGGCCCCGGTTCGGATCCCACATATGAGGGCCAGTGA